AGATAAAGAATATTCCCATCTCCTTGAAATTTTTATTTGTGCTGCTATATGCCCTCAATCTGCAGTCACCAACCCCCTAGTCTTTGACAAGTACTGATCTGTTTTCTGTCACTATACTTCTGCCTTTCCTAGAATTTCATACAAATTGAATCATAGAGCATATGGTTTTTTGGGTTTGACTCCTTTCACTCCACGCCTTTGAGATTTATCTGTGTCGTGTGTGCTGTATGTAGTAAGCCTTCGAATCAGAGAGTGTAAATCCTACATCCTTGTTCTGTTTAAGGATGGGCTTGGTTATTCTAGGTCCTTTACGTCTCTTTGACTTTGCCTCCCCAAAGGCCTGTAGGGATTTCCATTTGAATCTGTAGATAAATTCGGGAAGAATTGGCATCTTAACAATAGTGATTTTTCCAGTTTGTGAATGTGGTATCTTTACTTATTTTGGTCTTCTTTAATTCTCCTTTGCAATGTCTTATAGTTTTTAGCATATGGGTCCTGTACACCTTTCATTTAATTTAACTCTAAATGTTTTTTTATGTTATTGTAAATAAATTTGGCTTTTTTATTTTCTAATTTTTTATTGTTAATAGACACTCATTTGTCTTTTCTATATTGACACTGTAGTCTGTGACCTAATTTCACTTACTAGTCTTAATAGTTTTGTTGGTATCTTGGGATTACTCATGTATAAGATCATGTTATCTGCAAATAAAGACCATTTTTCTCTTCTTTCCAATCTTTATGCCTATACCCACCAGTTTAATACTGAATTGAAATGGTAAGAGCAGAAAACCTTTGTTCCTGATCTTAGGTAGAAAACCTTGGGTATTATGTTACTTGTAGATTTTTGTAGATGCCCACAACAGGTTTAAGAGTTCCTTTGTATTTCTGATTTGTTCAGGGCTTTTATCATGAGTGGATATTGGGGTTTTTTCTTCTTTCTTTTCATCTCTTTCTTTTTTGCAGCTATTGAATTATTTAATATGTTTTTCTCCTTTTGTTTTCTTAACATGGTAAATTATATTGGTTGATTCCTGGCTGTTTAAATTGACCTTAATAAGTTCCTGGAAATCAACTCCATTTGGTTCTGATTATTATCCTTTAAATTGTTGGACTGAATTCTCTAAAAAAATTTTAGAAAATTTTACATCTATGTTTGAACATTAGAAATATTAGTCTGTAGTTCTGCTTTCATGTTTTGTGTTTGTCTGCGTTTGGGGATTAGGGGATTCATTGGCCTTAACATGATTTGGGAAGTGTTGCCTCCTTCTCTGTTTCTAAAAGATTCTGGGTAAGATTGCTATTTCTTTCTTGAGAATTCACCAGTGAAGGAGTCTAGACCTGGAGTTTGTTCTGGGTGTAGGGGTTGGGGGAGGTTTATGTATTTGATAGAGTTAAATGAGATGGAGGTATTCAAAATTTCTATCTACTGAGGGTTTTGTCATTTGTAAGTTTTGAGGAAATCTTTCTAGTGCATCTGTGGGTCATCAAATGTATTGGCATAAAATTGTCCGTAATACGGCCTAATTCTTTTTTAATGTCTGTAGATTTTATGATGATAGTCTCTCTTATTTTGATTCTTATTTTGGTAATCTGTGTTTTTTTTCTTCTTCATGAGGCTAGCCTAGATCAGTTTTATTGACTATTTCATTATTCAACTTTCATGATAGAGTTTTCTGTTATTTTTCTATTTCATTGATTTCTACTCTTCATTCTTCCCTTCTGTTTTGAGATTTCGGATTTAAGGTTAGAAACTAAGATCACTAATTTTGGAATTTTTCTCCCTAATGTAAGTAGTGAAAGCTGTCAGTTCCTGGTAAACACAGCTTTAGTTGCATCCTACAGACTTTGATAGGTTGTGTTTTCATCATTCATTGAGTGTTTTTACATTTTTCTTCTCATTTCTTTTTTGACCATGAATTATTTAGAAACATGTTGTTTTACTTTCCAAATATTTGGGGTTTTTCTGATGACCTTATTGTTAGTTGATTGAACATACCTTGAATTTCAGTCTTTAAAACTTATTGACACTTGTTTTACTACCTTGCACGTCCTGGTGAATTTACTGTGTCCACTTGAGTGTGTATTTGTCATTACTAGGTATAATGTTCATTTCTGGGATGAGCATGTTCAGATCATCTTTGCTTATTTTTTCTGGTTATAGTGGTTGCTGAAAGAAGGGTGGAAAAATAAGTTACACCTCTAATGGCAGGTTTGCTAAGGGAATAATTGCAGAGGGACGTACATACGAGCATAGTAGTAATAGGTGACCATGTTTTATAACCTGCCATGGGGTTCATTGTACCTATTCTGTGTTTTTGTATTTTAAGTTTTCCGTGATAAAAACCAGAGCCTCTCAGGTAATGAGGTAACATATTTCAGGGAGTGCATGCCACATGCCCCACCAGATACAGAACCAGTATTTAGGATTTCTGCTTATTTTCACCTCATCACATAAAGAATTGTATTTGGCATATGTTTTCTAGGACATGGTATATCCAGTAGTGATGTATGTAATCTTAAAATATATATACATATGTACGGGGGAAATTCTAGATTTCTGGCTGTTCTTGTTTAAATGTAATTTCATCCCAATGGACAGGTCAGTTTTGTTCCAGAAGTCATGGTATCATTTGGGTAGTCTTGTAAACCTTTATCATGAATTTTATATGAAAAATGTTTTCATAATATTCATTTTTAAATGTTTTGTCAGGTTTTTAATAGGTGTTTTTATCCTTTGTAAAACTTCTGTCAGAACATAATTAAATTTTCAGGTTTCTGCTTCAGAGAAGGCTATAGCTATAATCCCTGAACTAGATAGGTCAGCAGTAGTGAGCTTAGAAGAAAACAAAACAATTTTATCAAGAAAAGAGGCAAAAGAAATAGTGACTTAAGTTTGGTTCCCTGTGTAAATATGAAATCGGTAGTATTTACTACTAATCAGTAGTAAAAAGGGGGTCAGGCAGTAATGTAGTATCCGCTATTGTTATTCCTCCTGAAAATCTTACTACTTTCCATCTGGGATGTTTACATCGAGGATCATTTGAAATAATAAAAGCAAAGGTTTGTAGAAAATAAATTGAATGACACAGAAACCTATACTAGCCTCATTTTCCTTCTCAACCCCATCCACCCAACCTCTGTTCCATGTTAAGAACAAAGAATAAATCACAAAAAACACATTCCAAGTGTTTTTAAATTTTTTTTTTATGTTTTATTTATTTCTGAGAGAGAGAGCATGAACAGGGGAAGGTCAGAGAGAGAGGGAGATACAGAATCTGAAACAGGCTCTGAGCTAGCTGTCAGCACAGAGCCCGACACGGGTCTCGAATCCATGAACGGTGAGATCATGACCTGAGCCCAAGTCGGACGCTTAACCGACTGAGCCACCCAGGCAGCCCCCAAGTGTTAGTTTTTTTTAATTTACAGTTCTCAGACTCCTACAATTTAGTTCTTTGCCCATTTGGTACTGTTGACTTTCTGATATTAGAAAAAAATTTACCTTGTACGTTTTAGCTTTGGCACTCTGTATATTAAGAATATATTTATGTTTGTGGATCTGAGAGAATGTATTCGTAAGGGCTTTAAGTGAAAAACACTATTAACATTATAAGGTGATTGTTGGAAGTGTTTTTTGTTTGTAAACCTTTAGATAATCAAAAACTTGACTGACTGCATTTCCCGGTTCTTGAGGATTATGTGATTAAGGTTCTCCTTAATCTAAAAGCAACTCTATAAAAACTGGTAACATCCATATTAAAAAACAATTTCCAGGGACACCTAGGTGGCTCAATTGGTTAAGCGTCCAACTTTGATTCATGTCAGGATCTCGCTGTTCATGAGTTCAAGCCGTACAGAGGGCTGTCCTGTCAGCATGGAGCCCATCTCGGATCTTCTATCCCCCCCTCTCTGCTCCTCCCCTGCTTACACTCACTCTCTCAAAAATAAACATTAAAAAAGTTTCCAGCAAGGTTTCTTTTATTACCCAACACCATTAGGTAGGAGAATTAAATTTCTAGCTTTTAAGTAGTGTTTATTTATGGAAGCAATATAGACAGTATTGTATTTGGATGTCAGCAGGTATCATAAAGACCAGAACTAAGAAACACAGGCTGAATGACAATACAATTAGACTGATTTGTAATTTATTTAATTTAATAAACACAGATTGAATTCTTGTCATCTAGACGGATGTAGCATTCAATCTTTATTTTTTTAATCAGTAATTGGAATCAGGATAGATAACATGTGGTGTTGTCTTTTTAGTTCACAGATAATGTGAATCTGGGACACATTGATAAATTGGGTAACATTTGCTTAGAAAACAAAATGATCTTGATGAGTTAGAAAAGGATATCTCATTAATAAGACACTTCTTAATAAAACAAATGTAAACTCTTTTGCCCCCCCAGAAGATAATTTAACAATACATCATAACATCTGATGACATAGAAGGTATTTCCCATTAATATTTCAAAAAAGCAAGATTTAGAGGTGCCTGGCTGGCTCAGGTGGTAGAGCATATGACTCTTGATCTCAGGGTCATGAGTTTGAGTCCCACATTGAGTGTGGAGCCTACTCTCAAAAAATTTAAAACAAAAGCACAAGATTTAGAATTATATTCACAATGGGATCTCAATCTTGTGTTAACATATATATACATTAGAAAGTACATCATACCTAACAGTTCTGGATAGTATCGTGAGGAGTGGTTTCCCTTTCATTTCTGCCTATTTCCGTATTTTCTACAGTGAGCATGGATCTTACATAAGACACACTGAAGATAAAAGGATGTTAAATTGTTTTGAACCTCAAATGTGCAGTCTGCGCGTGTGCTAATTTATATTGTCACAATAATGGTAACCCTCTCTTCTCTTTGTAAAAATAGTCCCCACAGTACAACGGTCAGCAGCTGCTACACTGCTCACAGTGGGTTAATGTTTTCTCACTCCCCTACCATGAGCCCACTGACTCTTTTCATTTTTTTCTCTTTATCAAAGGTTGAATTAATAAAGGGGAATTTACAGAGCGTCGGACTTACGCTGCGTCTTGTCCAGTCATCTGACGGGTATGCTGGGCATGTCATAATTGAGACGGTGGCCCCAAACTCACCTGCTGCGCTTGCAGATCTTCAGCGGGGAGACCGACTGATTGCTATTGGAGGTAATTGTGCTAATTAATATGCAACACACTTTACATTTACAGGTAAATCAGAGAGCAAATGTGGGAGTTTTCCCTATATTCATTCTATGAGTATGTTACTTTTATAATGGAAGGAGAATAGCTTAATCTGAAGGAAGCACATATGGCATTTTAGTCCTAATGTATAAATCTTCAAAATACTTCATCTTTAGACCACTCATCTGTAAACTTCTCTAATTTTCCATTCTTTCCCACCTTCTACTCCTCTAGTGTTTAATGAATATGAAAGAAAGGTCAGGTCAACAATTAACTTCTGTATAACCTCCACCTTAACTACTATGGGCCTAAAATTGATAGTATTAGCACTATGACCCTCACCACTTACGACTAGATATAACAGGAGAGACACTACTATTCCTTGTCCAAGACGGCACACTTGAACTATCCTGTGGCCCCATTTTGATGGCTCTATATTATTCCTGATGGGCCATCCATTACCATCCTTTCGTTAGTATGCTGTCCTTAGACAACAGCCCGAATCACTCTTGCTGGTGGAAGAATGTGCCACCTGCATGCTTTCCTAGCAGTTGGATTGATCACTACATAAACTCTGTTGATAGGCAGATTATTTATTGGGGTATTTTATAATACATATATAATACATGTATATAGTACACATTTATTAGTAAGTAGTAGAACTCACTGTGCAGACCAATGGGGAAAATGTCCAAACCTCTTCAGACCTTTGTAAACCTCTCCCTTCCCGCCCCCGCCTCCCCACCCCCTCATTCTTGGTTTCTCAGGACATCTCTTGAACACATGGTTGGTCACAGCTTAGCTTCTGAAAAACATATATCATTCTCTTACAACTAAGATCATAAACAACAAGGTAGATTAGTTCCTAAAGCAAGTGTTTCTTAGTTACACGTCAAAGAAACTCTCCCTTTGATTCAAATCCATCATGACAGTAAAATAATGACCATCATTCAGTTGCACACCTGGAAGGCCAAGCAAGTCGGTGTTTTCACATGGAGACCCCTCGGGCCCCACCACAAACAGCATGTCTCAACCTTCTTGGGTATTCCAGCCTCCCACATGTGGTGTGAAGTATGGATTCCGCTCCAGTGGGCCTGGAGGGAACCCAGGATTCCACATTCTAACAAGTCCCCAGATGCCACTGCTGGGTCATCGGCACTCAGGATAGCAAAGCCGTAGCACAGACCTCCTCTGTGACATAGTTGTTTCCCAGAGACATAGCACTTTGTTCTCCCTCAGCTAAAAACTATAATTTGGTATAATTTGTTTCTATACACACATACCCTTGTTCTGGTTTCACCCATAAGATATATTTTTTTTTCCTCTATGTCCTTTTATGGGAAAGAATTTTTTCAGTTACATAGATAGTAAATATCTATTATCAAAAATAAATAAATCCAAGTAATATAAATGTATACAGACTGAAAATGTAAAGGTCACCCATTTATAGCTAACATTTGTAAAAACAAAATATTTACTGAGGTAAGGGGCAGGTATAATACATACTTATTTTTTATAATTATACTCTTTGCTTCTATGGGTATATAATTTTTTAAATATTTAGTAATGGGATTGGTGGTAGTTGAAATAAGATCAGCAGATGCTTACTATATTTGAAGCTCAATGATGGAGTTTACTTTTCCTTTTTCTCTGCTTTTGTGTATATTTGAAACATAGCAAAAGGAAAGGAATCCGGACTTGGCTAACCATTACACGGGGGCCATTGGTTGTCTCCACCAAGGTCCCGGCGGTTGGGGAAGAGACCAGGGCAGGTGTTAAGTCACAGAGAACAAGCTCAGGTCGGAGTTTTCCCTACTGCTGCTCACCAGGTGGACCAGTTTTGCTGGGACTTACTGTGGTTAGAGGGAAGGGGCAGCCCGGTGAATCCCAAAGAGCCACATTATTAGAAAGCTTCGGGTTCAGTGTGATGAGTTTCTATGCTGAAGATTCTTGAGCCACAGCTTTAGGAAAATGGGGGAGCAGTATGTTCAGTACTAAGACAGGGAGGGTCAGAGGAGTGAGTCACAACAAGGAGCTGTGAATTCTTGTCATTGAAGCCTGTGATCGGGTGGGTCTGGACGGTGCGGGGCAGGCGGGGAGCTCCCTCAGAACTGAGAGCTGCTTGGATCTAAGGGACCAGCGGTCTGGGGGGTGCAAACTGGGTTCCTGGTGAGGGTGGCAGGTTGGTTTACACTTAGGACAGTGGAAAGAGAAGGTCAGAGAGGGGGTTAAACTGTGCTGCACTTGTCATGTTGGAGAAACATCCGGTGCCGATCTCCGGATGCAGTGAGGGATGTAGGACTAGAGTGAAGAAGGGGGTAGAGCAACCACTGAGGTGACTGATCTGCGAAGACCATGAAAAGGAAGAGAACCATCAGACAGAACCATGAGGATGCTTGCATACAAGGGTCAGATACAGGTGGAGAAAAAAAAAAGTAGACATGGTCAGAACCAAATTAGTACAGTGTTGCAAAAACCAAGAAAAAGGTTTTATTTTTTTAATGTTTATTTTTGAGGGAGAGACAGAGCACAGGTAGGGGGAGGGGCAGAGAGAGAAGGGGACACAGAATTGGAATCAGGCTCTGCGCTGTCAGCACAGAGCCCGATGCGGGGCTGAAACTCATGAGCCGAGAGGTCATTACCTGAGCCGAAGTCAGATGCTCAACCAGCTGGATCACCCAGGCGCCCTGAAAAAAGTTCTAAAGGAGAAGGAAGAGAAGAGAAAGGAGAGCCAGGATAGCTGCTGGAGCACGGTTCCGAAGAAGATGGGGAGGAGGGCCCGGCGTGCAAGGCTACTCCGTCCTCACAGCTGGGGCCATAGTAGAAGTGACTGGCAGCAAGAAAACCTGGCTGCTTGTTGGTCTCTTCAGTAAATAAGGAGAGGTCACCTCCTGAATAAAAGACCATACGGGAGGGGTGTGCCTGGGTGGCACTAGGGAGATGGGGCTAGCAAGCTGCAGTCAGAAAGCTGGGTCACAGAAAAGGGAAGGGCCGGGGCAGAAGAATCAGAAATCTTGATGTGGACACGAGTGAAATCTTGAGACTAGTCCTGCAGAGAGAACAAGTGGTATCGGGAGAGCAGCCAACTTAGGAGAGCAGAGAAGGGGTGATTGGGCCTGGAAATTGCCTCAGAACATTCATTTAGACAGGACTGTACAAAGTGGGAAATAGGAGATTGTGAGCAGAGGTTAACTGCAAGTGAAAGATCTTTGATGTGGAAAATTCCAGGTGATAACCAGGTCTTGCCTGGGCAGCGGATGTAGGAGAGCATCCAGGTGGAGGAACTCTGAGGTCAGGCTGTTAGATGGGGTGAGGTTACTCTGATGTAGGGTGGCCCTAAGACCTTTGGAAAGCAAAGACCGACCCCTTCTCACACCTTTTCTAAGTCCTGCAGACAGGGACGGCGTGAGTAAGTACTGTTTGGCGGAGGGCGGGAGGAGGGCAGGAAACAGAGCCTTAAAGATACCCTGGGTTAGGAGACTACAGCAGAAGCCACCAGCTTTGATGGCCTCAGGGACGGGACAGTATGGTCGCAAGATAGAGGTGAAAGGGAGGTTTTTTTACTCTACGTCTTTCTCTACCTTTTGAATTTGAAACTGCTAATGTGGCACGTGTTAGAATATAATAAAATGAAAACTTAAGCTGATACTATTGAAGCAGATAGTAACCAGCTTGTTCAACTTTAAAGCAATTTGTGTCCTCATGTGCTTTCTGGCGTAGGGTTGATGAAAAGAAGAGGTGAAAGGGTCCGCTATTCATGATAAAGTACTTTTGCTAAGTTCACCTCAAGCACTGGTCTCTGAAGTTGATCATGCGCCACAGCTGCATGTTGCTTTTCCATAATCGTGAACTCACAGCAGTTCTGTTCAGCAGAGTTAGAGGATTTTCACTGCAGCGATTTACATATTTTCCCTTTAAAAATCCTACAACAGGTGTGAAGATCACGTCTACCCTGCAAGTGTTGAAGCTGATCAAGCAGGCCGGCGACCGAGTCCTGGTCTACTACGAGAGGCCCGTCGGCCAGGGCGCCGCGCTGCAGGACCACCTCGGACAGCTGGAAGAGCCCTTCCTGTCGGCCCCGTGCCACCCCAGCTACGAGGAGGAGGCACCCGCGCTGGCAGTGGACGCTGACAACAGAGATTTGGACTCTGAATTTGAAGACCTGGCAGGTGATGTCCGAGCACAGACTGAGCTCAAAGATGAGGTGCCGCCATCAAGTCACAGTCCCAAACGTACCCCAACAACACTTTCTGTTAAACCCCTTGGAACAATATCACCAGTTTTGAACCGTAAACTAGCTGTAGGAAGTCATCCGCCCCCACCAAAACCCCCTCCATGCAAAGAAGGAAATAAACCCTTGGCCCCGAAAGCCTCTGAGATAGCAGACCAGACGCAAGTGTCAAAACCCACCCAAGGATCCACTTTCAAACCGCCCGTGCCACCACGACCACAAACGAAAGTCCCTTTGCCTTCCGCCGACACCCCAAACCAGACAGAACCAGATGTTCCTGCCGAGAAGCCAGAAAAGGTGCTGCCTCCCCCTCCTGCAGAGAAACCTGCTGAAAAGCAAGCAAAGAGTACGGAACACACAGAAGACGTGGCCGCATCAAAGCAGCTCTTAGCCAAGCAGGAAGTGGTGAGAGAGTTTCCTTCAGAGAGTTCCTGCCCTCCTAAGGACAGCTCAGATGACCCTCAGACGTGGGAGTCGTCAGAAATTCCTTACCGTAATAAGCTAGGAAAGTGGACAAGAAGCAGAGCTACCTGTGTCTTTGACATTGAGGCCTGCCACAGGTACCTAAACGTGGCCCTGTGGTGCAGAGATCCCTTCAAGTTAGGGGGTCTTATCTGTCTGGGGCATGTTAGCCTAAAACTTGAAGAGGTGGCCCTAGGATGCCTGGCGACGTCCAACATGGAATATTTGTCCAAGTTCCGACTGGAGGCCCCCTCGCCGAGGGCGATGGTGTCAAGAACTGCACTGCGCAATCTGAGCGTGCAGAAGGGATTCAACGACAAATTTTGCTTTGGTGACATTACGATTCACTTCAAATACTTGAAAGAAGGCGAACCAGACCACCCTACAGTCACCACCTTAGAGAAAGAGAAAGAGCTCCATCTGGTCGAAGAGGTGCCTCCTCTACCTAAGGAGGAGCATTTCGTTGGGCAGGTGGGTCCAACAGAAAACAAACATAGTTTCCAGGATACTCAGTTCCAGAACCCAACCTGGTGTGATTACTGTAAGAAAAAAGTGTGGACTAAAGCTGCTTCCCAGTGTATGTTCTGTGCTTACGTCTGCCATAAAAAATGCCAGGAAAAGTGTCTGGCTGAGACCCCTCTCTGCGGGACAGCCGACAGGCGGATAGACCGGACCCTGAAAAACCTCAGGCTGGAGGGACAGGATACCTTCTTAGGCCTGCCTCCTCGTGTCGATGCGGAAGCTGGCAAGTCCGTCAATAAAACCACGGGTTTGACAAGACACATCATCAATACGAGCTCTCGTTTGTTGAACCTGCGCCAGGTGTCTAAAGCTCGCCTTTCTGAACCAGGAACTGATCTGGTGGAGCCTTCACCAAAACAAACACCCAACACATCAGACAACGAAGGCAGTGACACAGAGGTGTGTGGTCCAAACAGTCCTTCGAAGCGGGGCAGCAGCACAGGAATAAAGCTGGTGCGAAAGGAGGGTGGTCTGGACGACAGCGTTTTCATTGCAGTCAAAGAAATCGGCCGCGACCTGTACAGGGGTTTGCCGACGGAGGAGAGGATCCAGAAGCTGGAGTTCATGCTGGATAAACTGCAGAATGAAATTGACCAGGAGCTGGAACACAACAATTCCCTTGTTAGGGAAGAGAAGGAAATCACCGACACAAGGAAAAAATCACTTCTTTCTGCTGCTCTGGCTAAGTCAGGTGAAAGACTACAGGCTCTGACGCTTCTCATGATCCACTACCGAGCAGGCATTGAAGACCTGGAATCTTTAGAAAGTCTGTCTTTAGACCAGCCCTCCAAAAAAATAAGCAAGTACGCAGATGATACAGAAGAAGATCTTGATAATGAAATCACCCAGCTGATCGACTCCCAGCCATTCAGCAGCATATCCGAGGACTTGTTCGGCCCGTCTGAGTCTGTTTAACAGCCGGCCTTCGGAAACTCTCGAGTGATTGGGGGAAAGTTGCATCTAAAGTACCACAGATAAACCACGTTCTGAACTCTCTGATAATGCACTTCGGCCCGCTTCTCCACAGTCATTTGCTTGTGTAGGAACAAAGGTGAAAAAGGTGGTGGTTTTCCAGCAGAAACATGACCAGCTCACAAAAATGGTTGTTTTGGATTGCGTTTATAGCTATGCTTTTTTGGGTTTATACTGGTAATTTATTTTTACTAATTTATTTTTAACTTTTTCTAATTATGTAATTATGTAAGCTAACTTTTCATGTTTATGTATGTGTGATGCCCCTTTGCGTGATTTCCCTTCATCTTAGTTTTTGAATTCACGTTCTATAGGATGCTGTCCAAATTCCGAAACCATTTTCATTTCCATCACGGTTATAACAAGTTTGCTGCATGCCCACATTGACAACGGCAATCACTGAGGGAACAGGTTTTGAATCTTTGTGTTAGGAAGTTTGTCATCTCTACTTGCTTGAGATTTTTGTTGTTTTGGGGCTTAGGGGGTGGTTTTTTTGTTTCTGCCAAATGTAACATAAAAGCAGATGCCGCGGCTTTAGTCAGTTACACTGATTTACTAAAAACAAACAAACAAAAAATCCCGTATATTGCTTGCTTTCTATCTTGTGAATTTTTTTCTAGTTTTTGTGCAGTTTTAGTGAGAATATAGTTCTTAATTTGAAGAGGTTGCATTGAAAAGCAAAATGTAATAGGGAATAAAGAAGGCAGTTGGGCAAGAATTTTTTAGCGAAGACAAGGTCACTAAAAAAACAGTAACTGGTAGGATTTTGAAATCTAATCTTTTGAAAGGTTGATGCTTTCTCCTTTTAAATGGAAGTCCTGAACATTTATGATTTTTTTTTCCATCTTTCGTCCTCCTGTGGGAAATAAAGCATGCCCAGGATAAAGTTTCAGAGGACTGTCCTTAAAATGACCATGTCGATAACCGAGTTTGGTTGTTTTGTTTTAGAAACCTTCTCGTGCGGGAGGATGTGAAGGAGAGGAATCGTGCAAAATAGATTTATCGCTCCTCTGACCTGCAGGTTAAAGGAGCAGTGATTCTTCTGGGTGCTTCTGCAGCACAGACTGTCTTCATCCATTTAAAAAATGAAGATAAGTAAAAATTAACAGTACAGTAGAGACTTGGGGTCAGTTCTCTGATGACAAAGATCCATTCGGATACTCGGTCCATCTTGTAACAGGAGGGCGTGACTTCTGTCGGTTTCTACACAAGTTCTGGCCTTTCAGAGGTCTGTCTTCCTTTTGTAAGTAATACTAGGCTAATGATAAATGGTAGAAACTGACATGATCTTTGAAACCAGATGGGACAGTTTTTGGCAGCATCGTGTAATAGGAAGGGTCCAGGTCTCCAGCCCTGGGACTCCGGAGGAGAGTTTAAGTTCAAACTCCCCCACCGGCCATTAATGCACTGTGTAAGCACGAGAGGGTTCTGGGCCACAGTCTCCCCAGCTCTGAAGTAGGAACAAACAACACTTTAACTACCTCGCAGGATCGTTGTGAGGGGGAAAAACAGAAGTGCAAAAGTGCTCTGAAGAGTAAAAAGCTATTCAAGAAAAAGTAGGACTCTCTCTCATGGAGGACAGACACTTTTGAGGGTAGAAAAGTTATTCCATTTTTAAAATCAATGGCCATTTCTCATTCTTGCTGTCTTTTATTAAGCAAAATATTAGGAAATCCCTTTATTGGCCAAGTTTATAGGACAAGAATCTGTGTATCCCATTTTTTGTTTGGTTAAGCTTGCTTGCATTTTAAAAGAACCCTGCTGTAGAAGTCTTCATACACCAGCTTCTCTTGTGCCTGAATCGCGAGTCCCAGAGACCTCCAAGGAGCCTGCACCTATGCAAATACAAAAGGGTCTTTATTACAAGCTCGAGCAGGGGCTCACCCCCCTACCGGTGTCGTGGCAGCAAGGTGAAGCCCCAGACAGTAGCGAGCAGGGTTTTTATGGGGTCAGGGACGGGGCTGTTACAGTGCACACGTTGTACATATAGCATCATCACATAAGCACCACTTACAATTGTACAGCAGCACCCATGGTAACAGCTTTGACCATTCAGTATCTGTGAGGCGTCCATTACCTTTGGTGGGACCCAATCATGACTTCTGAGAATCCTTTGAAAATGACCAATTGTGAGGTGAGTTCAAAGGGCCCACGTGGGTTTCAGGCAAGTGGTGAGAAATTGGCTAGTTTGTACAGAGTAACTGTCTACAGTTCCCAGCCTTGAGTCAGACCACAGGAATGGTTTTTGATTAGCTGACCTGAGGGCGGTCCGAGGACGGCTTTAGCCTCGAACAGTCTGAGGCTTTTCCTGGAACCGGGACTGGGGCTACGTGCGGCCCGAGGTTGCTCTTAATGGAGACTTAATTTTTGGCTCTTCATTCCCCCCTTCTCTTGTGTATTTGAAGGCCCAATCATGGGTCTTCCGTCAGGTCCCAGTCATTAGGGTGGTGGTACTGTGACCTAAGTATTATGGGTTGTATTACCCCCAGACGTTCTTGCATAAAGGCAAGCAATCTATTTAAATGACAAAATCTCAGATGGACATTGTTAAAGATTTGATGAGAGTTCAGTATGATGCAATTGACAAAGAAATTCAGTTATTTTTGTGACATATAATATTTTAAGTAATCAGAATATTATGTGATAACCTTGTACCAAAACATTAAAACTTTAGGATTTGCATATATATTTGGGCAGTTATAGCATTTACCCATGCAATACATCCTAAGGTTTACTGTTGTACATAGTGTTTTTCTAAGTAACTTAGCATCTCAAATAAAAGGGCTTAATTGGCCAAAAGACCCTTTTTTTTTTACCAAAAATCTTAAAGGCGAATGTAGAAAAACCTAGCTCCTTTAACATTGAGAAGTTTTAATTATGCAAAGACCTGATAAAGATGAAACCTAAAGCTTTGTTTACATTGTCTTATCAAGAATAGATTTACAGTCCAAGAAAACTTTGTGTTTTGACCAGAGAGAAAAGCAGAGTTTTACCTTTATAAACCAGTGTACTTTTTAAATTCTGGTTATCTCAACTTTAGTTTATCCTGAGCACACGTAGGATTTTTTTTTCAAAGATTTTCCTTTATGGACCTTTTACATATTTTTGTCTTTAAACTTTGTTTCAAAACCATTTTTCTCTAAACAACTAGTCTTCTTTAGGACAAAATTACTTTCTTTTACTCTCAATAAAAATGTATTTACATTTCTTATATCTTTTTTTTTTTAATTTATTTCTAGGAGAGAGAGACCGCATGAGCAGGGGAGGGTCAGAGAGAGAGAGGGAGTCACAGACTCTGAAACAGGCTCCAGGCTTTGAGCCAGCTGTCAGCACAGAGCCCGATGCGGGGCTCGAACCCCCGAACTGCGAGATCATGACCTAAGTGAAAGTCGGACGCTTAACCGACTAAGCCACCCAGGCGCCCCTTCTTAAATCTTTTTTATGTATCAGTTTCCTATATACAAGATTGTTTTCCTTATTTTCCATTAGTTTTAAGTACACTTAGCAGAATTTTAGGAAACCTTAGTCTCCAATTGAGGACTTAGTAACCAATTGAGAGGTGTGTACATTAGAATTTTTTAAGCCATCTTTTTAAAAGGTCTAAGTAGTCTTACTTTTTCTGCAATAGAAAGCTGAAAACTCAAACCTATGTTTAATAATCATGCATTCTATTTGGATAGAGGGCATGCAATTCAGGCCAGACAGGTTTTCAAAAGGAGTTAATCCCATCTGGTAGGGGGAGTTGCACACTTTATAGAGTGCAAAGGGGAGGAGAGCCATCCAGTCTCTGCCAGTCTCCAAGGTCAATTTAAGGTCTCTCTTAGAGTTTTATTTCTTTTTTCTATCTGTTCTGAACTCTGGGGTCTGTATGCACAATGTAGTTTCCAATTAATCCCCAGGGCCGTGGCTAAATTCTGGCTTACTTTGGACACAAATGCAGGCCCGTTGTCTGACCCTATCATCTGAGGAAAGCCATACCTTATGAAGATGTCTTTTAGGAATTTTTTGGCCGCGATCTGGGCAGTCTCATGTTTGGTTGGGAGTGCTCGGCGGGCGGTGGTCCCTCAGCTCCTTGGTAGCCGTTTTGCCTTATCAAGGGCCGCTGCTTTACTGCGGAGATCTCAGAGCTAGCCCTCCGCAACGATGAGGAGCTTAACAAGCTGCTAGAGTCAAGGTTAAATCCCGCATCTGGTGTCAGCAGCGTTTCAGGCAGGCCATCAAGTGCGTGGTGGTCAGCGACGGGTGAGTGCACCGCGTGGAGGCTGCAGGTTGGGCGGGGACGGCCCCGGAGACCTTGCCCGGGCCGGGCGTATGGCTCCAGGGACGTGGGAGTGGCGGGGGTGTGGGTGGCCGGCGTGGGGCCCGTGCCATCGGCCCTCACACCCTGACGTCCCTACTGCGCGCTCCTTAGAATGTTGAGCCCAGTGTCCATTAGGAACTCGATGGATTTCCCTTTTACTTTTAGGGTTACCCTGGGTTTGGGGAGGGGTGCCGAACCCCGTCTCCCCTAGTCACTGTCATCTCCCATTACTAGAATGGAAGTTTTAGACTTCTTCTTGGGGCATTCTTCGGCCCAATGTTCTTTTCCTTTGCAGTATGCGCATTGATTTTTGCCTAGGCGGGGGCGCCCTTTGAGCCGCTGGGAGTTCTCCTTACCTTCTTTTCGGAAGCCAACTGCCTGAGGCATCTTTTCCGGTCCTCGGGGTCAGCAGGTGCCGCGAGTAGAATCTTGGCCACACCCTGGTTTTGTCCCTTCAGCTCTTCCCTGCTTGTCCGCCGCACGTTCCCTGTAGCTGTGTGCCCTCTCTGCCACCACCCCTGGGTCTCGGAGACTTTTTTTTTTCCCCTAGACATTCCAGTTTCTGAAGTCTTCTCTGAATGTCGGGGGCAGACTGATTGATAAAAGCCATGGCCACCACAGCTAGGTTTGTCTGAGCTTCAGGACCCGTAGGGGAGTACTGGCGGAATGCCTTTCCGCTGGTCCCTGACTGACATTGTCGGCTTGCGAGCCGCAGCCGGGAGACCTGCCAGGAGCGGCTGGCGGCAGACCAAGAGGCTCTCCCGACCCTCAGCCGAGTTGTAGTCCCGATTTGGCCGCGCCCGGGGAAACCTAGCGTCGCTTCCAGCCTGGTCAGTAGTGGGGCCTGCAGCGGGCCCAGGAACCCATTTCCCGGCTTCCGACTGGATTCTTTTCTGCTCCTCGGTAGTGAACAGGTCCTGCAACACTTGCTGGCAGTCATCCCCGGTGGCTGATGAGTGAACAGGACAGTTTCTAATAGGTTAATAAGGGCGCGGGGTTCTCCGAGAACGGAGCGTTCTGAGAACTCCAATTGTACAGATCACTTGTGGTGAAGGGCCAGTAATGGGGGGCTGGTGGCCCCGATCACCAGGGGGGCCTGTGGCCCTCGGGCAGGACAGTAGAGTCCGGGCCCTCAGGTGTCATTCCACGGCGGCTTCGGGTCCCTTGGGCAGGGCCCATTTCCGCCGATCCCAGGGCCGCGGGGGCTGGCGGGGCAGGGCGTGCTGGTGGTTCGGGTTGCACCCCTGTCCCTCTTGCTGGGTCCCATGGAGGGCGTTGATAAAGAGGGGGAAAAGTTAATTTTTCCTCCGTTCCGCCCTGTAAGAAAGGGTAGAGCGGCGCAGAGGGTTTAGTTTCCTTTTTCGGCGGCTCCTAAGCCCGGGAGGGCGGGTGCTTTCCAGCTACCGCCAGGACCTCAGGTTTCTGTGGAGGCAAGAAACTCTTAATCCAAGGGGGTGAGTTATCAACCAGATCGGCCCAAACCATGATGTCCGGTGGCCATCTCACATTGAAAGTGGGCCATTCTGTGCTGCAGTAAGTTTGAAAGGGACCCTTCCTGACAATCACTGAGGGGTTATGGGCTTGTTCTTTAACCTCTCCAAAATGGGCTAACATTAAGTCTAGGGGTTTGGATGAAGTCTGTCCCATAACGTCAGTCTCAGTCACAAGGTAATAGACACCAACAGAGAAAATCGACAACCACACACACACACAGAGACAGATAACAGAGTTCGCTGCGCACAGACACCGAAGGCTAGCCAACAGAAAGATAAGACACCGGCCTCACGCCGGTTCACGGTAGCGATCCGTTGCGTCTTTTACCGAGTTCTTCCGGAAGTTAGGGGCACTCCGTCCCCTCTGACGGGGGCCTGGAACATCTCCCAGACACCTCCCCCCCCCGCGTTGTCTTGGCCCCCAGCGCATCCGCCTTGACCGTTATTGACCACTTCTCGATACCGAATTGCCCCGGGACCAGAACATAAAACAGACCAGACAAGCAGAGACAATTAGGTTCTTACCGGCCGTTTAACCCTTCGGTTTGGGAATCCTGGGGGTCCTGGATTCCCGGCAAACACACCAACGTTGTGCCCAAATCGCGAGTCCCAGAGACCTCCAAGGAGCCGGCACCAATGCAAATACAAAAGGGTCTTTATTACAAGCTCGAGCAGGGGCTCACCCCCCTACCGGTGTCGTGGCAGCAAGGTGAAGCCCCAGACAGTAGCGAGCAGGGTTTTTATGGGGTCAGGGACGGGGCTGTTACAGTGCACACGTTGTACATATAGCATCATCACATAAGCACCACTTACAATTGTACAGCAGCACCCATGGTAACAGCTTTGACCATTCAGTATCTGTGAGGCGTCCATTACCTTTGGTGGGACCCAATCATGACTTCTGAGAATCCTTTGAAAATGACCAATTGTGAGGTGAGTTCAAAGGGCCCACGTGGGTTTCAGGCAAGTGGTGAGAAATTGGCTAGTTTGTACAGAGTAACTGTCTACAGTTCCCAGCCTTGAGTCAGACCACAGGAATGGTTTTTGATTAGCTGACCTGAGGGCGGTCCGAGGATGGCTTTAGCCTCGAACAGTCTGAGGCTTTTCCTGGAACCGGGACTGGGGCTACGTGCGGCCCGAGGTTGCTCTTAATGGAGACTTAATTTTTGGCTCTTCACTATGAAAGCTACCAAGAGTTGTGTAACAAGCATGCCCAACGTAATCACCAACGTGTATCTCTCAAAAAACAAAATAACTTACCGGTGAGAACCTGAAAGGCCAGTGGCTGGAAGTGGCTGGTGTTTATGGAGGACACCACAGAGCTTTAGTGACAGCCAGGCATGCTGCTGAAGCTGGTGCATTTGAACAGAGCTGCAGAAATAATGCAACATTTTGGTTTCATGAAAGTCTCCTCCTGTTTCAAAAGTATTTAACTCCGTAGAACCACAATTATGAAAAGCTCAGTAATGCTGCTAATTATATTTGTAAAATCTACCTTTAATGTAGTGCAATATTTTTATATCTGCCGAGACGGGGGTAGCGGCGTCACGGCTGCACTGGAGCGCAGGGTGGGGGTGGGGGGGTCACTACAAGCAGCCTAGGGGTAGTGAGGGGAAGGCTTCTGAAAATAATTGTATTCTATTACATTCCTGATGTAATCTTGCTGCCATGCTATGTTATCAATAGCTAAAAAATAATAAAAAGAACTACCACAGAAAACAAGAATATCTTCATTTGCTAACATCTGCAAGACGTGGTTGCTGCCCCTCTCTGGAATCACCGCCTGGTCGGATTTGGCCACGCAGACAAGCTCCTTGCAAAGTCCTCTTTTGCGGAACAAAATTGCGATTTTGAAGCGTGCCTAAAAGCATTAAATTCTGGTGGTGGTGGTTTTTTTAAGCCCTATTTATTAGGAGTTAGATGACTTTCTGCATTTCTGATACTCAGATGAAGGGCTAGGTTAGAGAGTAAGCCGAACAACGTTGTAACATTATTTTAGAATCAGAATTAACTTGCTCCATTTCTTATATCAAGCCCTCTAGTCTTGTGTATCAGAATAGCTTAAATACAATGTGGCCATTTTATCCTGAGAGGAGAAAACAAGCCGAAAATTGGAAGGTACTGTCAAGTTCTAAACTTATCTGGATTTTTTTTAAAAGGCAGTTTGAAAACATTTGGCTTTTGATAATAAAGATAACATCTTAGTTTCCCTAAAAGTGAATACATTTATAATCATTCTACTTTAAAAGTGTCTTTCTAAATTGAGATAATAGCTTTCCTTTAAAAGAAAAAAAAAAAAGCTTTGGGGAGGTTCCTCTAATCCTTTTAAAACTATAGCTCCCCTCTAAGATCTGATTAAAACTGTGATTCTCATGGCCTCTCACACCTGTTTCAGGCGCACTCCCTGCATCTGTGGATCCCGGCCCCGGGGGCTCACTGTGTGAAAGAGGAAAGAGCCGCGGGTGATACTTGTTCACTGTGGTCAGGAAAACAATCTAGCCTCAGAAATGCAAGGATAACTTACTGGGCTCTTCCGCATGACATCCTGTGACTAGTTACAACTCGCAGCTGAAAGCAAATTTTGCAAAGCCAAAAAGTAGGGTTTCAGACTAACCTGGAGTGAATTTTACCTGATGCCTGTGAGCGGAGAAGAATCGTTTTTAATTAGGTATTCACAATCAAGACAATACCTTAAAATGTACTTTTTTCCAGCGATAATGTCTGGTCTATAAAGGAACACAAACAGGCACAGTAGCGTTCAGAAGATTTATTAAGGAAGCTGAAACAGGCACATACATTTAGCAGTCAAAGGAAAGAACTGAATAGTCTCTGCTACCTCATTGACGTTTTTGTATCTGTTTTGCCAAGTACAAACATTAAAACACACCTCTGATCAAAAAAATAAAACGTTCAGGGAGTTGTGTGTTCTTTGTTCTGAAACACACATGGGCGGCGGGGGGCGGGGGGGGGGAGCCTCCCCTCACTGTCTTGCTAGCCCCTGAATATTAGTCCTATAAAAGACCTTGCAATTGTACCTCCTCAGATACCTCTGCTCCCAGAACAGTTCTGAAAAACTCAACATCTTTTCTGTTCTCTCTCAAGATCAGCAGTGGCCTTGCCTCTGCCAGTCAGTCTTGAAGAGACAGAAGCCTTAAAGGCAGGAATGAAACCGGGATAAAGCATGTGGTCAGGGAGAGCCACAGACCCTCTAAGAGAGTTGATCTGTAGCCCGATCTTCAAGGGGGTCCCCCCACCCCGTGGAAGTAGGAAACAGTCGTGGTGTTCTGTTAGCCGGAGGAGAGCGCCTACACGTCCAGAGCCGCCTTACAGAGGCACAGATTTAGGGAGCTTCCTTGTTCCCAACACCCTGCACTTGAAAGCCAGATTTCACATCATCATTCAAAACCCCACAGAAAAGCGTCATAAAGCAAATGGAAACCGGATTAGCTACTTGTAGAGAATTACAAGGTTGAGGAGTCCTTGCTCTCAAGTCCTTTGCTCCTTGTCCAAGGTAACAAACAATTTTAGCTTAACAGAACAGACATTAGGTAATTTTTGTTGATTACAGAGCCACAGAGTTCGCAAGTACTACTGGAGACATTCTACGCTATTTGCACGCTCCAATCACATCTACAAAACCTGATGTCAACTGACGGCACTAACACAGTATTTGCTGTTGAAAAGGCACATCAATGTTGTCATGCTTAGAAAAACCACGTTGCACAACACCTGACTAGATGATACAAGAATACATATGCATTTCTAGATGTTTGGGGTTTTTCTGTCTTTGAAGGGGGATGTGTCCTGACCACTTTTTTTTTTTCTTTTCTACCGGTTTTCCCTAACGTGAGTCAAGATCATTTTCTTACCTCCATCCTCGTTTAAAATTTGTTGATTCGAACTTTCAGAAGTCTAAAATATAATAGTTACAGATCAAAATTTAACAGATTCCTAGAAAACACCTGGAGGACCTTTTAACAGGCCAAAGATAAATAGTCTGTTATTTTTTCACGTCAGAGCAGCTATCAACCTTTTACATTTTTTACATTTTACAACCTTTTACATAGATGTTCACATCTTGCTTAAACAATCTTGCCAGTATAAGGGATATCTGCCCTCAATTTTCTTTCATCCCATAAAACAATCAAGTATATATTTTAAAGGGAAAGCTAGTTCTATCACTATACTTTGGGTGCTTTTCTCTGCTTTCAGAACGTTTTCTATTTTTCCCCCATTGGCCCGAGTGCCTGCTGCTAGCCACGTGACATGTAAACATGTAATTTGAAGCCATCTGTTTCCAAGTAGATGATTACATAGAAAACTAATGCCAGCTCCCATGTATGAGTAAGCCCAAAAGATGCCGGACTCAAGTTTTTGTCCTCTGCATTTAAGATCACTAGCTCTTAACTCATAAATATATTGAGAGTAATCACAAGTTAATCACACGCAGCATCACTATATAATATGCGGTCTTATTTGATTGTTTTCGGACTTCCTGCTAGTTGCTCAGTGTTGGAAGTGTCTCGGAGACTACGTGTGCTTTAGTTTTAAACACTCATTACCAATATTCAGAAAAAAAGATTTTTTTGCCCAAGTGTTTATGAATGTAAGTTTTTTTTAAATTATATTTGATTTGGATTCAAATATTTATAGATTTACACTATATTTCGTCAAAATATATTGTATAATATTGAATAAAATCAAATACGTAAAATAAAGTTTTCAACACTATTTATACAAACCCCTAGAAAAGCTGCTTTTTCTTTATAAGGCTGTTGGCAATCGATCACAACCACGGAGAAGAACGGATGACCTTTGGCTGTTTTGCTTTCACCAGGGACACTGGAGTGACTAAGTTCTGGAGGACTCATTTCACTGGAAACATTGTTCTGTACAAATAAATACTTTGACGACTTCTGAAGAGCTCAGTCACTTTCAGATTCTTCATCATCCCCTATCGGATACGACTGGATATTATTCTGGGTGTACATTTTTGTTTTAACGGGGCAGTTGTGATCCATGAGAATGGCCTGAAAGAGAGCAGAGTATAGACATAGTTCCACATAGATGAGACGGTTTTAACCTACGGCTCCCAGTCCTGTGGTGCAGCTGCCGGGGGCCTGGCCGGGAAGCCGTGGAGCTGGGCATTCAGGGAGGACCCAGGCAAAATAGGAGACGGTGGAAGCGGTCTCTGCCACGGGCCACGGAGGCCACCAGAGCAACCTATAAGCCATGCAGCAAGGGCTGCGCAGGCATGTCTGGGAAGAGTTCTTTTTTTTTTTTTTTTAATGTTTATTTTTTGAGAGAGAGAGAGAGAGAGAGTGCGAGCGGGGAGGGCCAGAGAGGGAGGCACAAGATCCGAAGCAGGCTCCAGGCTCTGAGCTGTCAGCACAGAGCCCGATGCTGGGATCGAACTCATGAACCACGAGATCATGCCCTGAGGCAAAGTCGGATGCTTAACCAGCCGAGCTGCGCAGGCGCCCCCGTTTAGGACTTCTATTTAGAATCTTGGAACCAGGACTTGGGGAGATGCTGGTGTCACACAGTCCCACTGTTCACTGTGGCAACAGCCTTAATAAGGACACGCTCTCTCCTTAACGAGGCAAACTCTCACGCTGGAGATGGACCTCCGGTGTGTACGTATGTGGATCTGGTCCTGACCCCAGCCATCGTCACAGACTGTGCTTACAATACTTTTGGACCATTTTCATGGCCCCTTAGATTTCCCTAGACTAGACACCCCAGGGTCCGCATCTTTTCATAAATGGCATTTCCAGAGCACCTCTCCTCCAAACCCTAGATGTCTTCTTCTTCCTCAAATAAATGTAGGATTTGAAAAAAAAAAAAACAAAAATTCCTCTTATACACACAAAAATCTTGTGCCTTCTCATTGTTACTAAAAACGTAAAAACAATCCATTGATTCGCAATTAATAAACATCCTCAATTGATAAACACATGGAGTCATTACTCCTCGTGAAAGTGTGCACACCTAGCATGTAGTCCGAGAATACGGCCGCCCCTTATCATGCCGGGACCACGCCGAGCATTCTTGCCGCACCTTCACGAGAACCCCACGTGGTAGGCTGATAAGGCTGTGTGGGCACAGAGATCAAAGAGCATGACCAGGGATGCACAGCTAGGACGGGACAGGTGTGCGCCAAGCAGCCTTATGCCGCGGTCTGCTCTCTCAGTGCTCTGGGGCAGAGAGGCAGAAAAGGCCCAGAGCACAGCAAGGGGACACTGGGTGCAACTGAAGGAGATTCTCCAATCCAGCGTGTCTTTCCGAGTTTTCTTCCAAGGAAAGAATTCCCCCGACACGTTGCTGTGCGGTGTGAAAATCTACATGGAAACATTTCTCTATGAAAACTGCTATCAGCCCGTTGAAACCTGTCTTGCTGTGTGTTCGCTACTCCCCGCCCCACACATTTGACGGCTTCCGTAACTCCAGTCAGTCCTGACCTGTGTATCATTTCCTGAGAAATTCTACAGTGATCTGCCTGGGTGACATGTTAAGATAAAGGACTTCCTTGATCCTCTAAGTCAGGCTGCCAGCTCAAACCGTCAGCTGCAAAATTTAACAGTTTTTATGCTTTTTGCCAGGTGAATTGATACGTGTATTTAATAAGAAGCTCAATTTCTAAAACTAAGTAACTGAGGCAACAGACATGCTACCCCAGGACCATTCTCCTCAGTGTCAACCCCCAAAGAGCACAACGTCTCATCTCCCCAGGTTAGTGATCCTCAAAGAAATAGCAAGAATCACCAGGGGGCCAGGGGGAGGGGGAGTGAAACATGAATTCCCCGTCGGGTCCCTAACCTTCCAGGACAGTGGTGTGGACGTGCGATGAGAAGCACTATCTCAGGGATGTGGCATCACCTAGAACTACCGCAGAGCCCTATGGCTGACGACAGCTCGCTGGGCACCTGCTTGTACGCCCCCAAGGTCCTATACCAGCAACTCCGTGACCTTGCCACGCGGTAAGGGCAAGTCCCTCAGCGCTCACAGGTGGAGCGCTTGCTGTGGGTGAAGTGCTCAGGGAAAGGTGTCCAGGAGACGGGACAGGAGCCCAACCCTGAAAGGTGGGAAGCACGTGCACAGCAAAGGAGCCGGACGTGAGCACAGCATGGATTATCTGCTCAGTGAGACACTGTAAAACAGAGATGCTAAGTAAGCCGGTCTGGCCACTACAGAGGTCTGATGATGAGGTACACAGTGAGACGTTAATTAGAAAGCCCACTGGCACCAGACTGCAGGGCCTTGAATGCCAGGCAAGGGACCTTGGCCCCTGGCCCACAGGCAGCAAGACAGCCTTAGGACGGATGGCCATCCTTCGACCCTCTTCACACCTGCCTTCTCTATCTCGGCTCCACCATTAGACCTGACCCTGCATACATGCAGACTTCCTAAGGACCCCCCGGAACCTAATGCTGGGCATGTAGTATGGACTCAAAAAGCTGTGCTGCAAGGGAAGAGGTTCAGTCAGATTGTTTTGGGGGCAAACTGACCTCAGGGGTCAGAAGTTCTCAAATCCAGTCAAACCACATTTGTACGCACAGCCTGTTTCAGATAAATACTTTTTCTCTCTTGAAATACCGTTTTGGAGCTTTTAAAACCTAGCTTACTGGCTTCTGAACCTTCTTTGAAAGACAGATGATATGGCAGTTCTATTTTTGTAACAACTTCTACATGACCAAAGAAGCCAGCCGGCACGCGTAATATTCCCAAAGCGCCAGGAACAGAGAGGCGTGAACAGGAGCAAGCTGGTGAATCAAGTGCGGGGCCGGGGGGGGGGGGGGGGGCGGGCACGAGGGCCGCCAGGTAATTTAAGCCAGCTCTCCACGCACTGCTGGGCAACGGAGGCATGTGTGACTCTGGACTCAAAAGAGAGAGGAGGAAGTTGTTTGAACTCCGAGCAGAGTGCAGTCACTGAGAGCTGAAGCTCAGCCCTGCCAAGAAGCCTGGTTCACATCAGCCACAGAGCACAGTGACGAGCTCCAAGGTGGAAAAAGCCTTGTTGGACCAAACGAAGTATATAAATTAAGCAAATACACAGCCGGAATACTGAGACAATAAAAGCACTGAACGGTAAACTGAGCGGTAAGCCCTCCAGGCTTCAAGATTTCGAGAGATACCCCGACTGAATGCTAGAAAGTTTTATTCACCGTATGTAAAAAAAAAAACAAACAAACAAACAAAAAAACCTAGGGTTTTGCATATCCACTACATAATAAATGCCCTGCAAAAGGACCCATTTCTATGAATAGATTATATAATCTGCAGGACCTTGCCTGGCCTCTGCACTGGGAAACCAGGGTCGCTGGAAGAACTCTCTGAACAACTATGAGAAAGCCCAGAGCCACCCAGGAAAAGCAAAGCTGCAATCCCAAACCCCCACTTCCTGTCTGGGCCCCCACTAGAAACTTAAAGAAATGTGCCCTATCTTTAACAATAATTCTTCAACCTGAAAAAAAATATATCCATTCCAGCGCACAGCTCGCCTCAACTGGATATCCTGAGAATCACAGGCTACATGTCACTGTCGTCTAACTCGAACACAGTTGTCCTCGAGTGGCAGAGGGGAATCTCTCATACCTGCACAGGAACCTAACTAATCATGGGGGGCGGTGGGGGGGTTCTCCACCTGATTATTCCAAAAACCAAAACAAAACCAAAAAAAAGAAGTTGAGTATACCAAATGGAAGGAAAACTCAAGCGCTCACACACTAGCTCATGGTTGTGTGATTTGGGACCCATGAAATAGCTTTAGATCTTAACATATGTATATTAAGAAGAGAGAGAGAGACAGAGCACAAGAGGAGGAGGGGCAGAGAGCAAGGGAGACGCAGAATCTGAAGCAGGCTCCAGGCTCCAAGCTGTCACCAGAGCCCAATGCGGGGCTCAAACCCACGAACCGTGAGATCACGACCTGAGCTGAAGTTGGATGCCTAACCCACTGAGCCACCCAGGCGCCCCTAGATCTTTCAATATAAAATAGCTGAAGTCCAAACACCTCATCATCAGAACGTCGCCTAATGAAAGAAGGATTCGCTAGGGCTTATATGCCATATTCCAGCTGTCTTCCACCTGCCTGTGGTAACTGTTAATCCTGAACGTCCACACTTGTCGGTACTGGATTTTCTCAAGTGGGCAGTGACCAATTCTGCCTCCTCCTCGGCACACCGCTGTCCCGGCCTCACCCCCCTTATCATTAGGTTTCTTCCTGCTCGGCTTGCTCTGGGAACAGGCACCTGCGGTGGCCACCATCAAATGTTACCATGACGCTGGTCAAATGGAATCCAGTGTGATACCTTCAATTATGCGCAGCAGTGATGGGCAGCGAGATGTGCATTTTCCCAGGTTTTTAATGATTCCTCTTGATAGACACTTATTATGGATTTTTGACATTTTATAGGGCAAGTGGCTGTCTGGAAGCCTGCAATTTTTGATGCCTTGCCTTTCAAGACTGTGTCTTCCACTCCCTTTGGCATTTTGCTTTTTAAATGAACAAAAGCACTAATTTAACACGAGGAAAGAGAAGAGGTACTGAGGCCAGCCTTCTGCCAGTCATCATGTGGACCCCTGGGCGGTAGCTGGCCCGGGCAGGGGGGAGGGGATTCTCTCCCTCCATCCCCTGAGCTCACCTATTTCCTCCAACACCTCAGATAAGCCATCACGCTGCCACCCACACTCCATGCAACAGCCACTAATGCCTGCTGTGTGGCTAGGGAAGCCCGTTCAGCGGTTCTGGGGTCTCAGTAGCAAAAGGAAGCGCTCACCTCACAGAAGGGAGAAAGGGAACACACCAGGGGGGCCCCTGGGCTGACACTATATCAGGGCATTAGGTAGAAGCAGGAAAGCAGCGTGGGGTGGTACTGGAAGAGTTAACACATTTACTGAGCATTTACCGTGTTGTAAGCACAGGGCTAAGTGCTCTGGGGTTCTTGGCTGAATTCTCACAACAACCCAGGAAGGCAGATGCTATCCTGTCCCCACGTGGCAGTTTGGCTCTAAGGCTGCACTAGCCCTTCATTATCTCCCAAAAATCTTGAAGAATCTCCTGGTTGACAGAGGCTGTTGTAGGTGATTTGTCTTTGTTGTTTTGTTTCATTTTGTTTTTTGCTCTTTTTGGTCAAAAAAGGGTTGGGAGTAACCCCCTTTTCTGAGCCACCACGCTGGGATCAGGCGAGGAGACAGGTAGGATGAACAATAAAGTGCTACAGTTGTTCGGAACGGGAGGCATCTAAGCACGAGGAAAGAAAGAAGAGGTGATTTCCGCACTTTCCACTCCTTTTCTTTCAGTCCAACGTGTCATGAGCAATACCAAATTATGTAGTTAAATCCTTTATAATAAAGGGCACAACATGAGTGATCGACGTTGAATCTATCTTTGAATATATTTTCAAAACATATTGAACGAATTAACGAATACAAAAAACCCTCCAAATAAAGGCTGCGTGTAACCTAACTTTGGAGTCTGTGTCTGTTTTGAAACCCACTCTTTGGGGCAAATTGTAACAGGGAAGTTCGAAACGTCAAAGCATCAGACCCATTTCCGTACATCAGAAAGAACTCTGATGCACCCTCAAGAGAACATCACAAGCGAACCGCATATACTCCTAACCACAAAAACACCACCTCCCGTTGCCTTGGTTATCTCCTTCATTCTTAACCGAAGCCACTCTTCCAGGTAGACAAGGATCCGTCACCATGTGAGGCTTAAAAAACCATGGGGCGCATGGGGCGCCTGGGTGGCTTAGTCGGTTAAGCGTCCGACTTTCGCTTAGGTCATGATCTCGCGGTTCGTGGGTTCGAGCCCCGCGTCGGGCTCTGTGCTGACTGCCA